CCCCAAAACCCCAAAACCCCGTATCCTAAGAATTTGAAAATAACAAGAAATGTTTTTAAAGAGTCAATTGAAAATAAAATATTGTCGTAAATGTCAGATTAACCTGCTTTAAATTTATTCCAAATTCCTAATCAAATTAATCAAGATAAATCTGTCAGTTTAGATCAGAAGGTTTTATGGCTTCATACATTATCATGAAGTTGTCTGTAGAGAAGGTCTTCCAATACTCATAGCTGTCTGCATCCGCAAATGGCTCCAACTCTATCCATCTAAAGTTTTTGAAGCCCAACTTTTCGAACGTTTTCTCATAGTGAGATGGTGAGTACCAATAAAGCACCAGAGTAATATTCAAGTCCGTATATGTAACAGCATACTCAGTGGCATTCTTCTCAAAGTAGGAGTCTGAATCCGTTGAGAATGTAACACAGTAGTCAGCAGCTTTATTAAAATTCTCTCTTGTAAGGAAAGGGCTGGCATTTAAACCGCAGACTCTTCCGCCTGGTTTGCATAAATTCCAAATATTTTTCACCATCTACTCGAATCTTTCCTCATTCACAGCATTTTATAAAAGGAAAGTGGGAGTAACCAAGTCGAATTGCTATGGAATATCAACTATTGGAAGAGAACAGTCAACATGCATGTACTCGATATGACCTTTTCCATTCAGCTACCACTTAGCCATCTTTATGAAATTCTCACAGTAGTCGAAGCCAAAGACTTTTCCTGTAGTGAGCTCTTGCATTTTTCGGGTATAGAAACCTTCACCACAGGCAAGGTCAATAATATCTTCATTAGTAAGCTAGCCAACTAGTTTCATGAAGCTTGGAGTCTCAACAAACACCCTCCAAGGTAGCATCTTTGATGTCTTGTACTCCTTTACGATTGTAGCATAAGTATCGTCAATTAGCTGCTGAGAGTTGGTATTTTCTTCAGCCATTTATTTTACCTCTTCTTTGTTACTTTCTTCCATAGACTGTTCAATGTATTCGTAAAATATTATTAAACTGAGCTAATAAATACCAATAAAGTAAAAATAAACAATTTATGATGAAACAACTCTTTGATTCGATAAAACTTCGTGGGGTTTTGGGGTTTTGGGG